CCAATTCACAATAGCCATGCACAATAGTCATTTACAATAAATTGACCGAATCAGCCGTTCATATATCACTAGATTCTGCAATGGGTGCTCTCGTGCAATTGTATATTTTGGTATACGATTTGTTGTTATGTTGCATGTTGTCGTAAAATATTTAATACATAAATAACAAGTGATTTAATATATAGTAGTTGACTTGCAAAGGATTGACCCAATGCAATGCACGAGATCTTGTAACAGAAAAATTCCGCCGACTGAAGAATTACCTACCGGCATACCGATAAGTCTGACAAGTGATATCATTTGGAGGTAACCAATTGACACTATTCGCCAGGTATTTCGGTACAAATCAAAATAAAAAATTATTTTTTAACGATATGGCAGCACAACATATTACTGACAACTGTCATTTGTGGAATGAATGTGGAACACAAGTAATTGCGATAATTTCCAATTTTTTCTGGAGACAATTGTAAACATTCGAGAAATTCCACAAATATAAAGCAAAACTACAAGTAAATAACAAAAATTTGGACTGCGCAATACAAAACAATAATCTAAGCAAATGTTCTAAAATCATTTTAACAACTTCGTAGCAATGGTGAATGTTATGAAAGGTGTATTTGTTGAATGTGATCCGGCTATGAAACAATTTCTTTTGCATCTGGACGAAACGCTTGCATTGGGACGTAAATTTATCATACAAGATTTGGATGAGAATCATTTGTTCATTTCTACTGATATAGTGGAAACGCTGCAAGCACGTGTGGATGATTTAATGGACCGCATCAGTTTTCCGCTACATGAAAAAGATCCTTAAATTTACACTCAAAATTTACTCTATATATAAAATACAAGTCTTTCACTATAAACCAATCTACTTTACAAAGCAACAATCATGACCGGACGYGAGTCCAATCGTATAAAAGATGCAGAGAAGAAACGTGTACTTGATGAAGCTGCTCGACAACGGCGCGCACGCAAGGCGCTTGAAGCGCTCGAACAAGATAATTTCCACGAAGATCCTCATGCTGATTTGGTGATGTCAAAGAAATTGCCAAAATTTCAAGATGGTATCAAAAACACTAAAGAAAAGAAAAGCAAACGAAAAGGTGCCGAATACTATAGAGCGAAGTATCGTAAAAATTTTCCACAGCTACTTGAAGAATGCAAACAGAATTCTACGGATACACCAAACTATTTAAATGCTTTGGCTCCCGCACCAAATAAGCCGCCACGTCGGTTCTGTGCTGTTTGTGGTAATTTTTCAAAATACACTTGCACTGCGTGTGGCACACACTACTGCTGCATTCGTTGTCTTGGCACACATCAGGATACACGTTGTCTCAAATGGACGGCTTGAGGCTTTCTTTTAAGTATATAATATATATTATAATAAAACTAAAACATAGCGTTGAGAATTGTAATTGCGTAAATTCATTTTTGCAAGGAATATAACAACACTTTTTAAATTGCTGTAAAAATTTATGATTTTACTATGCATTATAAGTTGCGAGTGCCCTATTAGTTACATTGGTCTTTTGTAATGGTAAATATAATTAAGTTATAAATATTAAGCCCGCATTTTTAATTGTTTCGCAATTCTTCTGTTTATTTGGCAGCGCTTTAAGGCATAATATTGAACTATTAAATTATATGAAACCACAACCAAATCTTCAAACAAAAATAAAGAAATTGAAAATATTAATTTTATATTCTGGCTACAATTGCAAAAACAACATTAATTTTAGATTCAAGCGCTCCTCTGTGAAAGGTAAATTTTGGGTTAGAACAAGAAATTGTAATAAAATTTGTAGGAGTTAAATTTGCTGAGCTGCTATTTATTGTGCTTTGTAGAAGTGTCCTCTGAATTACATTTTATACGCTGATTGGCTATGAAGTTTAGTTAAATAATATATATATATTTTTTTTTTCTCGAGAAAGTTTGACCCAGAATACACCTTTTTATTTTTTTTACATAGAGCACACAAAAAATTCATTCAGACTAAATATTATACAATTATTTACAAATATTACATGAAAAATATTATAAATTTGACTTCAAGAATGGTTTCAAAATCTTCTCAAAAGAGTCAGGCACCGGTTTTTGATTAAGCGGACTTTTCCTTGCTGCCTCCATCAAACGCTCATACACATTACCATCATAGCAACCTAGAGTTGAGTTCAAGACACGGTCATGAAAATCAAAACCATCACAAACGCACACAGCATCTGGACGAAATTTTTTCAAAGACAACTCCAGACGGCGTTGTAACGAACGCAGATTGTCATCGCTGAATGTCGTAAACTGTGAAAGAAGCAAGCAATTAGTATAAATTTGGAAATCCTTATACTAAGCTTAAATTGCCATTTACCCTGAGAATATCGTGCATGTGCCGCTGCACAGTTTGCACCAAATATAATTCCAGAATATTCTCTAATACGGAATTGAGCGCTTTAGAACGTTTTGACGATTTTGTGCCAGTAATTTGATCTAAAAACACTGAAGCGACGAATTGGCGTGCGTGAAGCTGGTTTGAAGAAAAATTTTCAGATTTAGAATAAATACACTTCTATAAAACGTAAAGCATTAAAATTTCTTACTTCGGCTGCCTGCGTTAATTCAATGCCTGTGTTGTTGGCTGCCTCCTCTTGTGTTTGACCGTCAGCCACACGTTTGGTCAGATTCTCGAAAGCCACACGCGTTTTACTGTAACGGAAAAAGAATATTGTTTTTATAACGATTTTTATGCCCTGAGCAAGATATGTATGTATATTAAGTCTGCTACGAAGTAAATTTGCACTGTCGTACAAACTGAACGATCTACATAAATCAAGTTTTTGTAAGGGAAACGTTTTTATATGACGAGATATCTACACGGAATTTGGCATGTATTTTTGTCCAAGGCAATGTTATAATCATAGAACAAATTTTCAGATCCGACTACCAAAGCCTGTAGCTTTCATAAAATCTGACCGCTAAAAATACAGTTCTTGTATTGAAACTTTATTAATTGTAAAGTGTATTCTAGCTTCCGTGTAACCGAAGTTAATTTTTTTTTTTTTTTGCCAGATTACTTACTTGGTCGCCGTAAACTGCAACAACTTAACCATATACTCCAAACTGTCATTCCATGGTGGCATTTCACTTTTGCCATACATTTCCGCCAAATAGGCAGCCAACGGTGGCATTTGCTTGCCTTGCATCAACTGTAACCAGGTCTTAACTAAATAGCGACCCACTTGCAGCAACAACACTGTATTTTCGCCCTCATAAGTGTATGCAGCAACGATATTGCCATATATATTACTGAAATTGGTCGAGGTCAAATAGCCATGACCACCACAAGCCAAACGTAGACGTTCAATACCGAAAGAGCCGTCGGTACTTGAAAGCACTTTCAGACCACACGAAATGATATGCATGTCCGTCATACGCTTATAATCGCCATTGGCTATTTCTTTTTGCGTCAGATCATACATCTCCCACATATAGTGTACGCAAAGACGATAAGCAATGCCATTTGCTATTTCTGAGAAGAGTTTTTGTTGCTGCGTCACATGATCGATAATCTGCGGTTCTGGCTCGCTGCAAAATATTTATTTATTTAGGAGAGTTCTGCAACTAAAAACTATTCAAAAAATGCACTTACTTGGCATTAATCGGACTTTGCCGTCTCACCGCCGAATAACGGGTTGCTATGGTGGCCGCTTGCAACAGCGAATTAGAGGAGAGATCGACGATTAAACAGCGTGTATACACCATTGTCATATAGTTTAATCTTGACACAGGACTGGCGACGAAACTGCCATCCGGCAAGACTTTCGCATTACGCATTAGCATATTTGTACGCGGTATGCGTACGTTCTTGAAGCCCAGAAAACCTTGATTCACGCCGGCCATGCCGAGTTTCCTGCCAATCTCACCAATATCCACACCCGGCAAAGGCATATGCGTATCCAAGTCGCGCAATTGCACTATGAACATTTGTATGCCATGATGTTTGCCATCGATGTAGAGTTGTGCCACCACCATGGCATGGTTGGCGGTGTGACCCACTGCAAAATACAATTTTAACAACTTTATAAAAAATTAGTATAGAGTTATTTGCATGCACTCACGCCCTCCCGGCCACCATTTGTAGGCCTGCAAATTTGGTGTGTTCAAGACGAATTCATCGGTTTTCCGATCGTAATCTGCGCGTGTTTCAATGCCGCGCACATTGGTGCCATGCGCTAGTTCGGTTTGTGCATAAGTGCCGATTATATTACAATTGGCGGCTGGCTTGGCAAATTTCTCGATTTGCTCTGGCGTTCCTTGATTGAACAGCACATCTACGAACATGGTTATATGCGTCGCAAAGGGGTGGTTAGCAGGCATCATAGCCCACGAGACGTAGCTGTAGAGCAGCTTGCTGTAAGCATAAGTAATTTTTGAATATAATGGTCATACTAGATGCACGGCTGGTTGTCTAGTGCTTACGGCCAAATGTCATTACCCCCCGGATTGCGTATTTCTTGTAGCTTACGCAGCTTTACAGCTGCCTCCGTAACATCCTTAACAGCCAAGTGGTAGACATCTTCATGTGACAGATAATCGTGTAGATGACCATCTCTCAGATTTTTGTAAAGGTAGGTTTCTATAATTGGATAATTGCAAAAGTGAACTTGCCATAATTGTATGTATGTGTGTGTAACTTAGACGTAAGTATTTTTTTATTTTTTAACGATAGAAAATATGTAAAATAATAATAAATTGTGGTTTCCAGATTTGTATACGCTCGGAAATAGTTGGCGCTGAGTCGGTTAAGCAATATTCTGCTGTCCGTTATTGTTGTTGTCGCGGCAGAAAACATTCCTGAAGTAATTTCGTGGTATGATGCCGAGTTGAAATTCCTCGGCGCATAAAAATACGGGCTCTTGCCGGTTACTTAGACCCGACTGTCGTGGGAACGGTCAATCCGTTTGTTGGCACGTCAATATATACATACGTCAATAGTCCCTCAGTTTTTGAGCTCTAAAATTGTTTAGACTATCTTATTTATCTACTATAACGTATAGCTGCCATATAAACCGACCGCTTTAAATCAATTTCTATAAAAAAACAAACTTTTATATCACAAGATATCTTATCAAAACTTGGCGTGAATTATTGTTCAAAGCAACGAAGAAATTGTTCTGATCGGACTACTGTAGCAAGTTACTTTCACACAAACTGACCGATCAAAATTAAATTATTTTTATTTGTGCGGGGTATTGGAACTTCGGTGCAGTCGAAATTAATATTTTTTTTTTGTTTTATTTAAGTTTCTATTATCTTTTACCAGCAACTTTCTGAGTTACCCACGTACAAAAGTATGAAGGCACATTAAATTCATAAAAAATGGCTTATCATTTTTCACCTTTGTAATTTGGTAATTATAAAATGCCGGCTGTTTATGATAATGATCGGCTAAGCCAATGTACAAACAATTTTAATACGTTTATATTTTAAACCGCGTATTAAAAAACATTTAGAACGGAATATCGAAACATTAATCTACTTTTTTATGGATGAAATTAATACAAAAAAAAAAAGTTGGATTTATTTCCAATGGTTATTAACAATTAATTTTTTTTTTTTTTTTAAGTATTATCAGCAACATAGTCATATTACGCTTTCGCTTACTCTAAATGATAGTTTTCAAGCGACCGCTCTTACATTTCAACCACTCTACCCACCAGCTGTTACACCTTTGACCCCGCAGCTTTCACTTTGACTCACCGATTTCCCGCTTATCTTTCAATTTATCTGCGCCACCATACCACCAGTGCTGGAATTCTTCAACACTGAAGCTGGGCGACCTGCGTTCCTTCTCCAAATCGGGATTAACCCGTGCTGGTATGAGGCTCTTACTTGTCGGCATTTCTAATATTATATACTATGTATAATAATCTATATTTTTATCGCAAATATTATATTTTATATGTGTTACCAAGATTCTACCACAATCACAGCGTATTTGCGCACAACAACTGCGGTCAGCGTTAAAATAGTCGCCAAGTTAAAGCAAAAATAAAATTTGAGTCAAAACAAGTTGAAGCTTTTTGAAGAGTGTGCTCACAGGCGATAAAAACAAACGATCATTTGTTGCTCTTTTCTCAAATAAAGAGAAGGATAGAAGTGAGAATGTGATGGCTTGCGCTCTTCTTTAAAGCTTTCTTATCACTTCACTTCTGGTATACAAATGTTGGTACAAGGTTTATTTTTTTTTTTCGCTTTACTATGCGTTAACGTTGCACTAATTCGTGACTTTGCATTTTTTGTGGTGGTTTTGTTACAACAATCTTTATTTTTTGTATTTTCTTATTTAATTTATATTTGTTTGTTCTCATTCTCTATATATACACAAATACATATATACATATATACAGATATACATACACATATACATATTATGTATATATGACCTGGTCTACGGAAAGGGGGCTTGGGTGTCAAAAAATCAATTTTCACTTTTTAGTTGATTCGGATGGAAGATGAGATGCTTTTTTTTACAGTCGTTTTCCAGAAAACTAGTTTTCGCACGTTAGCTCC